TAGCACAGCCCTGCAGCCAACACCTCCCGGATGCCGGGCGCGCTTGGAGAGAGCAGCGCTCCGCGGGTGATGTCAGCCCACGCCGAGGGAACACATTCTTGGCAGGGCTGCGGCGAGGGAGGGGACCACACGGCACCTGTGCCCACAGCAGCTGAGCCACCCCGGCCTCTCCGTCCCCTTCGCCATGCCCCGGGAGCTGCCCTGCGCCCATGGGTGCCAGGAGGTGCACCCCATCCCTCGGTTGGTTTTTGAGGCTGGTCACACAGCTCCTTTTTGTTAAATGCCTGGATTTCAATAGGATTAATGTGAAATCGGCCCTGGCTCACATTTGACCCAGCTCTTACAGGAAAAGGATGTTTTCTGTTGGCTGCTCTTAGTGTTCGTGGGACACATCAACCATGGGGATGCACCAACCATAGGCTATAGCGCACACGGGGTGCACCACATACAGGACACATCAGCAGTGGGTTACAGCATCCATGGGATGCACCGACCATAGAATGCATCATCCATGGGATAAACCGCCCATGGGACTGGACACCCAAGGGACACATCCACGGGACGCACCACACGTGGATCACACCAGCTGTGGGATGCACCATCCCTGGAACACACAGCACAGGATACAGCAGCCGTGAGACACATCATCCGTAGGGTGCACCATCCACACGTCCCCCATGTCCAGAAAGCCACAAGAGAAAGAACCAAAACAACCCCACAGGGGCTCTCTGGGACCCGATGCCCTGAGGAGGGGCCAGGAAAGGAGGTGGCCGGCTGTGGCAGGCAGATGGGATGAATTACAACGGATCAGCCGAGCGCTTACGGAGCATTATGTGCCATAACCTCCGCCTGGGAGGATATGTTTCACTTAACGAACCTGAGAGAAGCGGGGGAAAATCTGATTTCCTGCCTTGACAACCAGAGGCAGCAGCGAAGACAGAGAAGAGCCCTGAGGATGTGAGCAGGGCTCCCAAATTAAGGCCCATTTGGCAGAAGCAGGCACTGGCTGCAGTACGTCAGCATCAGGGCCCCGACATCACCAGAGCAGTGGGGACACAGTGTGCTGGTCACTGTCACCAAGGCCACCCAGCTGCCTTCCTGCACCCCAACACGCATGGCTGCGTCACCGTGGGTTGCTAATGGGGTCACTAATGGAGTTATGGGGTAATGCAATTACTTTCGTGCAGCCAGGACATGGATGAGCCCAAGCAGTGCTGATAGCATGCTTGAGGACAAGTCACCAGCAGCCTGCTGAGAGGCTCCAATTGGACCAACCCATGCTCCAACGGGGCCAGCAGGTGCAGCAGTGACGGGCGTAAGGCATCCCAAGAGTTGGCCCAACCCAATGGGGAAAACTGGGCTGAGGGCAGCCCAAGAGTTGGCTCAACCCAATGGGGCACACCATGGGCTGAAGGCAGCCAGGCAGGGGAGCAACGGGACACACAACACTGAGTGAGTCCCACTGGGGCCATGGGGAAGCTCAAAAACAACCACAGGGGAGGAAGCAGCTCCCCTGAGCCAGAGCTGCTACGAAGTCAGCATTTCGAAGAAAGAGCATACAGGGAATTTCCTAGAAGCAGCACTTCAGTGCTGGAGCAGAGCTTTCAGCACGGGGTATCGCACTCCCCGAAGGAACATCCGAGCATCCTCTGTGCTCGGTGCCCACGTGCTGCTGCTGGAGGCAGCGATGGGATGCTGAGGGCAGGGACAAGCGGTGACAAGGATCTGAGCACAAACATCGGGCAGTGGCACAGGCTGTACCTTTCATCAGAGCTAATGTGGGATTTATGTCCCCCCAAAAGAGGAAGTTGTTGTGAAGAGCCTCAGCGATAAGCGGGTGAATAATGGCCGGCAGAGGGAACACGGCGAGCCGGGAACACGATGGTGATCCATCAGCAGGAGCTGTCGCTGGAAGGACACGCAGCACCAGGGAAGCCACGGCCATGGCAAACCAAAGCTCCGAACTAGAAGGGGGAGATTGATGCTAGATACCAGAAGGAATCCTTCACTATGAGGGCAGTGAGGTCCTGGCACAGCTGCCTGGAGAAGCATGGGCGACCCATCCATAAAGATGCCCAGGGTCAGGCTGGATGGGGATGAGGTCTATGGGAGCGCCCCCGCCATGGAGAGGTTGGGTGGGCTGTAAGGCCCTTCCCACTGGGGTATTTTGGGGGTAGAATTCTACACGGGGCATAAGGCACCGTCCTGTTTGTCCCATTGGAATGGCACCAAATGCCCATCACACATCCTGCCCATCCTCACACTGCCATCGAGCTGAGCCCGTTTTCTCTTGCAGTGCACGGGCAGCTCAGTTTTTTTGGAAACACAGCTCCTGGAACCACGGGCCGTTGGGACCTGTGAGCTATGAGCCATCTCTCACGACCACTCCCTAGCCAACACTGCATGCAGCTGAATCTACGCAGGGCTGTGTGCCTCACAAGGTCATCTTGGGGGTATTTTCCCCAAAAATACACAGGAACAGTTGGACTGAGCTGGGCTGAAGGACAGCAGCACCCAATCACAGAATCTCCCAAATTGGAGGAGACCCACAACGATCACGGGGTACAACTCCTACACACAACCTCCTGCACAGGACAGGCACAGCTGGTGTGTGGAGAGCAGTGACACCCAACCATGGGCCACAACCCTGCCTGGAAGTAGAGCCAAGGAAGGGAACAGCCAGGAGTCGTAGTAGCCTTAGGATGGCATTATTAGGCTCCTTCCAACCCAAACCATTCCGTGGCGTGGCTCCAAAGGAAGAATCCACAACCCTGGATGCACACTGAGCACAGCACCCATTGCGCCCAGCTGTTATTCACAAGCACAATCACTGAGTGGCTCCAAATCTTCACTCTCGACCACTCAAAACCGAGAAATCAGGTGTGGGGCAGCACCAGAGCCCCGAGGTTGGGAGAGATAGGATGCTGCTGCGACCACAGGGAAGCATCTGCACCTCCACAGCCCCAACATCTGGATGGAGTCACTGCCTCCAGCAACCACCAGCTGCTCCAGCATCTGCCAAGGCCGCAGGACGGGGCTGCACAGCTGCTGCTAACCTTGAGCACGGTGTTAAGCTCTGACCCATTTCAGGTCCTTAACGGGAACCGTGAGCCCCAGCAACGTCCCGCTCTGCTCTTAAAGAGATGCAAAGCACCGAAACGTGCAGCCCGGCACCGCCAGCGCTGCATTTCTCCCCTGGAGGTGCTTCACCTCAGCACCCACAAATCGAACCTGCCCAACCACAAAGCATTTACTGCCGAGAGCAAACACGGCGGGGCCGCAGGTGTCACTGTGCTACAGGGTGAGAACACCGTGTTCCAGCACTGAGTCACCGTCGCATGGCTGATGCCAACCCCAGGCTGGGTGAGCCCCATGGCACCGTCCTGCCCCACGGCTGGGCTCAGCCTTCCCCTTCTCTTTGGAGCTGGTTGGATGTCAGGAGAAACTCTGAATGAGAAGCGAGGCTCTGCACAGGGAGGTGGGGGTGTCACTGTCCCCGGAGGTGTCCAAGACCAGTGGAGATGTGGCACTGAGGGATGTGGTGAGAGTAGGTTTGGACTTGGGGAACCTGAGAGGTTTTCTCCAGCTTTAATGATTCGGTGATTCCCTGGGTCTGCTCTCCAGAGCCCAACGGGACGTCAGGGCAGCACCAAGTGTGCCCACAGCTCCCTCCCTGCAGCCCCACGGCCAGGAGGAAGGCACTGTACACACCTGTGCATGGCTGATGTCAGTGCCCCGCGGCACCGGGCTGCCCCGCGGCCCGGACTTTAAGGTTGAATCATTCCCTCCTCCTTGGGGCTGCCCTTTTCCAGAGCTCAGCCACCCTGAGTACCTCCGCAGGGCTGCGAGAAAGAAGGGAACAGACTCTTTAGCAGGGTCTGCTGCGATAGGACAAGGGGAAACGGATTCAAACCAAATGAGGACAGATTTAGATCGGAGATAAGGAAGAAGTTCTTTACACTCAGGGCGGTGAGGCAGCGGCTGCACAGAGAACTGATGCCGCCCCATCCCTGCAGGCAGCCAAGGTCAGGGAACGGGGCTCTGAGCACTGATGGAGCCGCGGGAGTCTCTGCTCACCGCGAGCGCAAACGGCCTTTCGGGTCCCTTCCAACCCAGGCGATTCTACGAACCCCCCCCGGGCTGGGAGGCACCCGCACGCACCGGGACACCCCACGGAAGCGCAACCCCCCTCCGAGAGGAGCGACCCCGGCGCCGTCCGCGCGTCTCCCCGGCGAGCAGCGCATCTCCGGAGCGCATCCCCGGCACCACCCGGAGCACCCCGGCACCGCACCGCGCTCACCTGTGACCAGCACCGCCCTGCCCTCCACCGGCAGCAGCCTCCTGCCGGGCGCCCAGCGGAGCAGCAGGCAGGCGGACGCCGCGGCCAGGGCGAGCCCGAGGGGCAGCGGCAGGCAGGCTCGGCACAGGCTCTGCACGGCGGCCAGCAAAGCCAGCGGCACGGCCAGCGCCCGGTCCAGCACCACGTCTCCCCGCGCCGCCCGCAGCGCTAAGCCGCCCCCCAGCGCCGCCCACAGCGCTCCGTACGCCCACCGCTCCGCTCGCTCCATGTGATGCGATGGGAAAGGATGGGATGGGATGTTCAGCGCCGGCCCGGCCCCGCCGCACCGGCCGCGTGGTGCCACCGCGGGGAGCTTATAGCGGGGGAAGGCGGGAGGAGAGGGGAGGGAGGAGCGGGGGGCGGCCAATGGGGGGAGCGGAGGGAGGGGCGGGGAGGGAGGAGCGGGCTCGGCACGGCTCGGTTCGGTTCTGCTCCGTTTGGCACAGTTGGGTTCGGCGCGGGTAGGAGCGGCTCGGCTCGGTTCGGCACCGCGCGGGGCTCAGCTCAGCTCAGCTCGGCACGGGTCATTTCGGTTCAGTGCGCTCCAGCTCGCTCCAGCACGGTTCGGTTCGGTTCTGCTCCAGTTCGGTTCAGTTCGGTTCAGTTCGGTTCCGTTTGGTTCCGTTCAAGTTGGCTCGGTTCAGCTCAGCGTGGCACGGTTCGGTTCGGTTGGGTTCAGCCCAGCTCAGTGCCCGCGGCACCGGTGCCACTGTGCCCACCCCGGGGCTCGGTTCCCAGGCCGAGCACCCTAGAGGAAGATGCCACCGGGCACAGCCCCACAGCTCCATGGCCGGGCTGGGGGTCTCCATCCCCTCCCACAGGCACACAGGCGTGCAGTGCTACCAGAGCCACCCCATGGGACCGGACCCCAAGCAGGTGAGGTGTGAACCACATCCAGGTGCTCTCCAGGCCCTACGGGGCTTGGGACCAAGGTGATCCCAAACCATCCCCCAACCCGCTGCTGCGTTTGCTCCCTGCCATGCTGAATGCACCCAGCGCTGCTCCAGGGGCGTGCCACGAGCAGCAGGTGCTGGGGCAAAGTCCTCCCCTTCCCACCTTTATGACTTGGCTTGATTGCTCTGCCAGGCTTTAATATTCCACCAGCCCTCTGTGCTCAGTGACCCTGCGACGGAGCATCGCTGCTCCATCTGCCAGGCTCTGCTCCCAAAAGCTTTGCTGTCGGATGGAAGATGCCTGCGCCGTCCTTCGCCGTAGAACCACGTGGTATGGATGCAACCCCCTTGGTCCCATCGGAAAAAACAGATTTCATCAGCTACAGGAGGCTTGGCGGGAGGGCAGTGGCCAACAAACAGGCTGGGGTGGTTTTTCTGGGGTGTGGTGGTGGTGGTGGGACCCGGTTGGGTTTGCAGCCTGGCTCTTCCCGGCCGGGGAATGTGGGGAATGCTGGCCAGGTAGAGGAGGAGGGATGTGCCCAACGCATCTCCCATCTTGGGATGTGGTTTGTGGGGTCCTTAGGGTCCTTCCCAGCAGCAAACTTCAAAGCAGCATGCGTAGGAACCTCAATTTCACTAGGCTTGGAAGCACCTCACTAAAGAAAGTTATTTTTCCAAGGGCAGAATAGTAATTTTTGACCAGTTCTCTCTCATTTGGCTGGATCAGAGATGGCTCTCTACAAGAAATATGGCACTACTTGAGGTCTTCAGCTGCTTTCAGCACCCCAGGTTGCTTGGAGGCTCTCCTGCTTGGATGCCAAGTAATGTCCAAAGTGCATGCAGGTCTGAATCTGTGGGAGAAGGGGTCACCCAACCATCCGTAAGGTCCCTCCTTCTGTAATTTGATGATTTACCCACAAAGCAGCCCTTGTGTTCATCGCTGTTAGCTGAGCATCACCAAGCCTACCTGCTCCGACTCAATCCATCCACCCGTTTGTCCGTCCATCCATCCAACCAGCTGTCCATCTGTCTGCCCATCCATCCCATTCGAACATCCACCGTTTGTCCCTCCCTCCCTCCATCCATCCGTCCATTTGTCTGTCCGTCTGCCTGTCCATCCGTCTGTTCATCCCTTTGCCATCCATTTGTCCATCCATCCACCCATCCGTCTGTCCACTCATCTGTCCACCCACCCTCCCAGCATCTCCTCCCTCCCCCATGCCACCTCTCTCACCACGGCTGCCCTCGCTGGCTGCTCCTTTGCACACAATGCCTGCCCTTGTTCATCTCCCCGTTGCTCAACCCCTCGCTGTTAGGAAATGCTGCTGAGATCCTCATTACCTTTTGACCTACTTGACGCCCTCCGTGCCCATTTCGCTAATTGTGGCTCACCTCTGCGGGTTGGAAGTGGGGCTGGGTGGGTCACACCCGAACTCAGCACCATCCCTATGGGGGATCCGTCTTCCTCCTGCTCCCCTTTGCCCTAGGCTGTTCCTACAGCTCGGTGGAGCCTCCCATGACGAACAGGTTTGGAGATAATTGTTCCCCTCCCTAATCTCATCTCTGGAAGATTCATCGCATTGTTTTCGGGCCGTTTGCAGGGGCTTGGGGCTGGGAGGGATGTGATTCACCCAGCACTGCTCCCACAGGTGCTTCATCCTGCCCAGGACATCCTCCCCTTTTGCCAGTCCCTCCCCAGGGAACACCTCCATGTCCATCCCCACCTAAGGGGAAGGATGCCCAGTGACATCCAAGGCCAGGTTTCCCCTTCTCATTGGAAAATCTCAGGCTCTGACCTGTGAGGTTAGGCTGTGCAGCCCTTTACAGAACACATCTCCACTTCCAGCTGGAGTTATGGCTCTGGGAGAGGTTTTACCTTCTGGAAAGCTGCTTCCCAGTAGAAGCTCACGTTCCCACTCCCATCTCTCCTCTCCTGCTGGGCTTCCCACACTACAGTGTTGTGGGTCAGCAGGACTGAGCACCCCAAATGCACTGCCAAGAGCTGGGGGCCCCTTGTGGCTGCAAAGCACTGGTGATGCTCAGGGAGGGGTACCAGGTCCCCGCACCCCATCCCAGCCAACAGAGGGGGGAGAAGCCCTGCTCAGCATCCCCATCCCTATCTGGGCTCATCTCAGGGCTCAGCCCTTTTCTCCATCCCATCAACCCATCATCGCCTCCCACCTCCCTTCTCCATGGCGTCCGCAGGACCTCGCTGTTAGGGTGACGGAGCAAACCTGCCTTCCTCCCGGCCCCAGTGACACACTGCCTCCTCCACCCCAGCACTGGGACAGTGGGTCACGACACGGTGACCCATTTCCTGTCCTCCACCTCCCTGCGCCCGCCGTGCTGAGCTGAGCATGTCACCACCCGGCCTTGCTCAAGAGGTGAGGACATATGGGATGTATGGGGACACATCCCTGCGCAGTGCCATGCACGTGGCCGCCGTGCCCCCTCGTGGCAGCACGACACGGGGACAGCGGGTGGCACGGAGCTTGGGGACGAGGAGAGGGGCTGGAGGTGCCACCGGTTGCACCCTATGGAGATGGGGATGTGAACTGGAGCACCCCACATGGCACTGCTGGTGGCGCACAGGCGTACCTGCGGCCCCACCACCCCCCCTCCACCTGCGTGGTGTTTTTGGCACAATCCGTGCGTGCCACAGCCAAGCCAAGCACTTCAGGCGCCTCTCAAGGGCAGCGCATGCCGGGGAGGCCTGGAAATATCCCCAAGGCCTGCAGAGCCAAAAAAAACAGCTGTAATGAAAACACAGAGAGAGGGCAGCGGAGGCCTTCGGTGAGGACACAACTCCTGGGGGGGGGGGGGGGGGTGCATCCCGGTATGGAGACATCAGGCTGCCCCTGAGCCATGAGCCACGGGGATGGAGGTGGGGCAGAGGGATGCAGGAGTGCCGTGCCACCCTGGTACCTTGCTCCACAGGGACACGGGGCTGCACAGGGATGCTGCAGGAAGCATCACCCCATGCCCCAGGAATGGGGACAAGGGACACCGCCAGCAGCACACGTCACATCACTTTATTGTCACAGCAGCCAGACCCAGCTCCCAGCGGGGGTCCGGGTCCAGCCCCTCTCCCCTCAGTACTGCTCCGACTCCCACTGCAGCACATGCTCCTCCATCCTTCATCCTCCATCCTCCACCTTGCATTCTCCATCCTGACCCCACAGAGCAGCTCTGGAGCATCGCTCCCATCGTGCTCTGGAGCTGAAGGTGAGACCAAAGGTGCGGAGCGTGCCAAGCGTCCCTGTGTCCTTCCCCATGGGATGCAGGTGGTCACATCACACCTCCATGCCCGGTGCCTGTCCCAAGCCCAGCGCCTGCACCAGCTCATCGCTCAGCCCGCTCTTCAGTGTCCGTCGCACTGTGGGGACAGGAGAGTGGCTGCTGGGTCACTGTGCACTGGGCTTTGTGGCCCTGGTGTGGGTATAAGGGGTCCTGGTGGCATGCGTGGGTGCCAGGGTTAGGGGTCTGGAGGGGTCAGGGAAAGGAGGTAAGGCATGGGGTGGCTTTGGGACAGAGACGGGGCATAGGGTGACACGGGGACAGGGACACAGAGTTGGGATTGGGACACAAAAGTTAGGAAAGAGCATCTGAGCAGAGCTCCAGAGACAGGAAAGATCAGAGGGGCACAGAGTGGGGACAGGGATGGAACAGGGCATGGGGACAGGAATGCTGAGGACAGAACATGGGGATAGGGCACAGCGGCCAGGACACGGGGGCACAGGGTGTGGGGACAGTGGCACTGGGGACTCACAGGACTTCCTGTTGCCACGGGACCTCCTGCGTTCCCGGCTGGGGCAGGGACGGGGGTTGGCACTGTGCGTCACCGACTTCACCAGGCGGTCCATGATCTCATCCGAGGCGTCGTCGGGTGAGCTGGGGACATCCTCCTGGGCTGGGGAGCCCTGGCTGGGGCTGGAGAGCCCCGTCACTGCATGGGAACATGAGGATGCTGGCATCAACTGGGCGCTCCCTGGGGCCACCCCACTCTGCCACCCCATCTCCGATGCGCTCCTACCGCGGCCACCCCGACTGCGGCGGGCAGGGACATCCGTGGGCGAGCTCAGGATGCTCTTCATGCTCTCGTGGCCCACCTCTGCCTGCTCCTGCTGTGCAGGGCTGGTTGACACCACGGCGGGTGGCGATGCCTCGGTGATGCCAGAGAACTTCTCGGTCTGCAGCAGGACAAGAAGCAGGCATTGGGGACACAGCTCAGAATCACGCGATCATTAAGGTTGGAAGTCCAAGATCAAGTCCAATCATCAGCCCATCGCCACCATGACCACTCACAGAATCATAGGATTGTAAAATCACAGAATGGCCAGGGTTGGAAGGGACCTCAAGGATCATGAAGCTCCACCTGCCTCCCGCGCCACAGGCAGGGCCACCAACCTCTCCATTTAATGCTACACCAGGCTGCCCAGGGCCCCATCCAACCTGGCCTTGAACACCTCCAGGGATGGACGGGGCATCACAGCCTCTCTGGGCAGCTGTTCCAGCACCTCACCACTCTCATAGTACACAACTTCCCCCTGACATCTAACCTAAATCTTCCCTCCCTCAACTTCAAACCATTTCCCCTTGTCCTGCTGTTATCTGCCCTTTCAAAGAGTTGACTCCCTCCTGTCTGTAGGCTCCCTTTAGGTACTGAAGGCTGCAATGAGGTCACCCACTGCTCTCTCTTCTCCAGGCTGAACAAGCCCAGCTCCCTCAGCCTGTCTTTGTACGGGAGGTGCTCCAGCCCTCTGATCATCTTTTTGCCCTCCTCTGGACCCTCTCCAACAGCTCTCCGCCCTTCTTGTAGAGGGGGCTCCAGACCTGCACACAGTGCTGCAGATGGGGCCTCACAAGAGCAAAGTAGAGAGGGACGATCACCTCCCTGCCCTGCTGGCCACCCCTCTGCTGATGGAGCCCAGGATTCCATTTGCTTTCTGAGCTGAATCACTCATCATTAAGCTTGGAAAAGACCTCTCAGATCCTCAAGCCCAACCCCAGCCCACCTGCACCGTGCCAACTGCCCTCATCCCTCAGTGCCACATCCCCACAGCTCTGGGACACCGCCAGGTGTGATGACTCCCCCACCTCTTTGTCAGCCGTGCCACTGCCTCACTGTTCTATTAGAGAAGGAATCGTTCCTCATATCCCATCCGAACGCCCCTTGGCACAACGTGAGGCCACTCCCTCTCATTCTATCAGCACAGGGCACAGTGGTGGGATGCTCAGCCCCATACCTCTGTGATGAGCCGGCCGCGCGTCTTGTTGCGCTCACGATGGGCCGCACGCTTCTTCTGCTGCTGCAGGACTCGCTCCCGGCACGTGCGGTACTCCAGGGCAAACTCCCGCAGCAGCTTGCAGATGGGCATCACCTTCACATCCCGCACAACGCTCGCCGGGTACCCCAGGTAGAGCAGGAAGGAGTGGAACCTGCAGGGACACCCATCAAGGCACGGCCATCCCCCCACAGGTTGACTTCGGGGCCGGTGATGCGCCGGGGTTGGGACCCACCTGTTGAGGACACGCCGGTGCACCACCTTCAAGACGACGATGCGCTGGGTGCTGTCCTTGAGGAAGTCGGTCAGCTTGCTCTTCAGCACCGGCTTGGCCTCGTGCTTGGCGATCACCTTCAGGTTGTCCCAGGACGCCCGACAGCGCCGCTCCAGCTGCACCAGGCTGTTGGCCAACTCATCAAAGTCAACCTAGGGGGGGTGGGAGATTTTGTCCATTGGTGCTGGTGGCGGTGAGGTGAAGGCGTAGGGCCTGGGCTTGGTCTCACCTTGGCAGAGCGAGTGATGGAGGCGATCTCTGAGTAGAGGTCCGTGGTCTCTGGGAACTTCTCCACCACCATCTGGCAGAGGTGGTGGAGCAGGGACTGCCGGTGCACCGTGTCCTTCACCTCCGACACCTTCTCC